TATATATATATATATATATATATATATATATATATATATATATATATATATATATATATATATATATATATATATATATATATATATATATATATATATATATATATATATATATATATATATATATATATATATATATATATACACATATATGTATATACATATAAATTATTCTATTTGGAATATCTAACATATCTATTGAAAAAAAGTGATAATACTTCATTTAGACGGAAACTCAAATCACCACAATCGAAATATTTTCTTCCCGCGGCCAAATTCATCTTTGAAATCCTAGTTCGGAATTCACTTTTTTGCAACATTACTGTCAACTCATTTTATCATTTGAAGTATCGTGACCTTCTGTTTTTCTAGTTTAGAACTGTACCCTCTCCAAAAGTTTTCTCGCTTGTTGACAAAGCTTCTCGACTTTAGTTTGTAATCATTACTGAACTTTTTTTAACAATTTAGGTCAGAACTTTCGTCATGGTGAATTTGAACGATATGCATATGAATTTGCACCCGACTCATATATGGCATGCTATGGACGCGGTGCTGCACCTCTGAGTGCTGCATGGGTGGGGATGGGTTCTTTGGCGAACGGTGATCCGATTTCGTTTGCAAAGCTGCTGTACATCTATACCAATGCTTGCGCTCACCAAATTAAGCAGTCATTGGTAAAAACATTCAATTATTATAAGTCGAAGGCTCTAAAAACCGAGTTGTAATTTCTTAGTTCCACTGCTTTCACTTCTTTCTACCCAGAATCATTTGCTCAAGAAAATTTGTCATAGTGGCTGTATTTGTTTAGAGCAGTGTGTGATCCGTTTTTTTTTTTTTTAGTAAGAAACTGCATTTATCACCAACAGCGAATTTTCCATCTCCTATATAATGCCTTTAAGCATTCATTTTGCAAATTCTTAGTATTACGAACTCTTTCACTGCTGACCTTGTTGGACAGTTGTTCACTGTGGATTAATGTTTTGATGGAATACTTTGTTGTTTATATTCTCTTGTTATATGAATATTTCGTTCTTTATTCAATCCTCACTAGTAGGCAAAAACCAACTACAAATGATTATTGTTTTTCTCAACTGCACTGCAAAGTCTGTGTTGCTTTTATTACAAAGGTATTACGTGCGACTATCTTATTTCAAGAACCTACTTTTCTAATACTGATAGTGTGGTATTATATAAAAGTTCATAAGAAAATAAGATTCTTAAGAAAATATGTGTTTTCCTGATATGAATAAATCTAGCCACACCATCCTGAAATGTTGCATAACCAATGGCTGAAAATCTTCAGAATTTTAGACATGAGCGTCTCCTTAGTTCCTAGGATTCCTTAGGTATGGTTAGGACATATATTAAAAGAATACTTAGGATTTAAAAAAATACCTAGGATATTAAAAAATAGAAATAAAAAAAAGTTTCAAGAAAACAGGACAATCATTGTGCTGTTCGTAACAACCAGTGAAGCGACAGCTTCGTAGTCGTTTATTTTCTCTAGAATGAATTTTAAGTACGTTCCCTTTCTGTATTTGAGCTGCTCTTCGGGCGGTTTTGTTTACATGGTTTTCAAAGAATAAAGCTGGCTTTCGAATAACCTGCTCAGGTAGCTTGTCTTTTTCGACTTGGCTTTTTGATTTAGCTTTTCATATTTTATGACCCTTGTTCTAGTTTTCGTGGATTCTTAAGAATATTGTCGTTTAAACTAAATTTCTCCATTCAAATTCGACTATAGCCTGTACAAATTACATTAAGAACCATAGAGGTTGGTGATGGGTATCATTAGCTTAGGAAGCTTTATAGCTTTTGTAAGTACCGATATAAACACTTCAACTATTACAACACTATACTGGAGGGTAACTGATACAGCAGATCTTAGATTTCTTGTCCCTGTACCCTCGGGAGGATCCACTTCTCCTACACTCTAGAACAGATCGGAAATAAAGCATGATGACCAAAACGACATCGTGTAATGATCTTAAGGCTAAACTCTCTCTGTAGAGATATTGTAAGAATTATATTTATATATGCACAATTGTATTTATATATGAGCAAATAAGAGCACAAAAACGGAAAAAAGATGAGTTGTAACCGACGCTCTTACGAAATCGAAATATTTCAGTTGGTAAACTCTATTTTCCCTACGTCATTTTCCGGAAAAGAAAATTTAGAACCATGTTCAGTTAGTTACAGTTTTTGAGACAGATAAGATTTGGAAAGCTTCAAGGAAATTAAAACAGAGGAATTCTTTATATAGAAAAACTATTTATAATGAAAAGCCTTGACGGAGTGGGTCGCTGAATCAACCACAAAGCACATTCCACTCCATTTAAGTGACGAGGCAATAAAAACACCACAAGGACGTTTTAGGCGTGATCCATAGCTATCCATTGAAAACAAGAAATTACCCTAAAATGCAAAGCCTGCTTTATTTCAAATTTTTTTACTGTTTTGATCATTTCGAAGTATAAATAAAGGCGTCAAACTAACATTTACTGCACGGTTCCAGGTTTGGCAGACAACACCCAAAGACGCTTAATCCCGACGCTTTTTTTTTAAAGTTCTAAAACCCGGAACTAATTAAAGTAAAGCTACCTTATATTGGCAAACAACGAGATAGGCGCGATTTTTTTTTGAATCCACAACAGCTGACACAATGTTGCCCGTCTGGGAACACACGGAACAGGCTAGAGCCATAATCCGGCCAGGATGTGTAATTGAGCATAACGATATTTCACGTATAAAACGACCTATTAGAGAAATATTAAGTGAAAATGAAATCTTGCAAAATTCCACTGTTGGGAACTGCCCTGATATTATGAAAAATTTCCTTTGTTGCTTGAAGCATGAAACGTAAAGCGTTCTATAACATAGGAACCCACATTTTCATCAAATGTGATTTGAATGAAGCAAAAAAAAGTTGAAAACCGTAGAAATGAGAATAGTACATAGTATAGGTGGATGGCTCAAGTTTTACAAGAACAGGAAGAAAAAATAAACCTCCTCCATCATATAATAGTAACGCAGAACACGTGCCCACAAGAATATCATCATTAAGACCAACACAAACACATGTTATGGGGGACGGACCTGCGTGAGTTGTCACACTAAAACTGAATAGTGGTCGAAATGCACTATCGAAAACGAACACCTGAAATGGAATCAATCAGGATGCTTCCAAGTGCAACCCACTAGTATTATTCATTAAATTTGATGCAGAAAGTGAAGCAACGAGTTCAATTCAGATTTCAGATCTTAAACCGAATCCTAATTGGAAGTGACAACTCTCTTTATTTCGAAAATTTGTAATAGCTGACTTGGGAAGGTTAACCAATGAACAAATCAAAGCGAAATTTGAAATTTCTTAACAATAACACAAACCCATAGCTGGTCGTCCTCTGTAATTACCGTTTTTAACATCATCTAAACATTAATTGATAAAAAGTACATTCATTATGTCAAATTACCTTGACACACGAAGTATCAGCAATTATGTATCGTCCACGGCTATCGATACAAAGATCAATAGGTTCCGCAAATTCAGTAAAACTCATGGTCTACAATCAAATTATCACTAGTACGACAATATTATTTAACAGCAGACGCGTAAACTGTTAATGTAATGAAGAGGAAAAAGTATAAAAACAAAAGTAAAACTATCATTGTGAAAAGGAACCTGAAGTAGCTCTCCAGAAGGATCACATCTACACAGTTCTTTGGTTCTCCAATTTAAGGTTAAAATATCACCGGATGGCAAAACTGTCATGCCAACAGTACTACCACCTTTGATTCCTTCACTTTTAATATCCCTCAGAAATTCTCCGTTTATATTCAGAACTTTTACTGAAAAATTTAAACAGTCCTGTGAGGGAAAGCACTGAAATATTGTTTTTTACAAAAAAGGATCAAACATGAATTTGGCAAAAAATATCGCTGGAAGTAGAAAGTTTTACAGGTAATTGAACTAACAGTTTTATCAAAATTCATGAGAACGAACGAGTTATTAGATTATAACCAACTTCGATTATTTCCAGCATCCAGAATATAAATCTGCTCTCGCAAATCTTGAAATACTTTTACTGGCTGATTCAGCTGGAGTGTTCCTGCTCCACGAGACCCGAAATGCCATTTTGGGCAGTGATGGCTACTTACATTTACGGAAAAAGGACTATTTTTTATTGGCCTACCAAAGATCGTTACACGAACCAAGTATTCACACGGCTCGTAGGCTCTAAAAAAATAATAAAGTAAAAACATTACTATCGAACAAATCACTTCAACAAAAAAGCTAAAATTTTCCAAATAATTGAGTAGATTTAAAATGAGGTAAAGACAACAGTATTTAAAATTGTAACAACAAGATTCTGATGAGATTCATAACACAACAAATCAAGCAAAATTATGTCACGAAATAATTAACAAGAAAAAGAAAAATTACATGAAGCAAATGGAATACGTTCCATCCTCGCTATCTTTTATTATTGGGTCAATTATTTCAACTTTTTCAGCACTGCTTTCACCTGAACTTTGCTCCTCCCACTTCGCCTTGACAATTTCTACCTTTACTGGATCACCGCCACTACTTCGCCGTTTACCACTGACATCGTATGTTGTCAATATTAAGTGAGTTTCCGTATATACAGTGGATGTATCCAACAGCTCTACAACACACTGTCCTGGGAAGGTTGTTGAACCGGAAACTGCACCAAACTGGCTAAGTGACTTTTCGATCTCTGAAACATTGTTTATATTTGAAAATTATCTGAAGAATAAGAATCACAAAAAATAAGCAACCATTCTTATATCAATAAACAAAAGACGTACCGAAGAGAAGCCTTTTGGTATCCATGTGTAGTTTCAAGAAAGCATTTTCACGAGGTTCCGTTAACGCAAGTGCTTCTTCAGTAGCTGCCATAACGCGTCTTGTACGTGCTCCTATTTCGCGCACATCCACTTCGCAAATTCCTAATTCTCTTTCCAGTCTAGAAAAACATTACAAACGGATCACTGACTCATCTGCAATTCCGGATCGAATAGACACAGTAACTATAAGAAGTTAGTCAAACTGTCTTTAAAAATAGATTTGGTCATAACCTAAACGAGATCAATTAACCAGTGAATCAAAGCAGTAAAGTCCTGTCCTAAAAACAAATAAATTATTACTTCTTACGGTATGAGTCAATCAGTTCTGTCTGGTCATGAAGTACTTTTTGCTTTTCATCTCTCATCATTCGAACTGCATCGATCAGTTCACGACGTCGATTCTCCACCAACTGACATATTTCCTAAAAACCGACATCCAACTACGAACCAGTCCTCCTTGTAATCTAATTTTTCACTAAAACTCGATTATCCTGTTCCCACTCTTCTGGTTCCTGCTTTTCCTGTCCTATCACTTGTTGAATTCGAGAACTCCTATTGTTTAATAATTCCGCCTCCTCTATTTTCTCTTCATTTCATCCATTTCCTCCAGTTTCTAAAAAGTTTTTGCAAAAAATGATATTATAATAAATCTAGTGCTTACTTGAAACGATGCATTTAGTCCTTCTACAACATTATCAACATTTCGATCCAGCTGCAACGTCTCGCATTTTACATTAGTTGCAGCTCTGTTCAAGCTTGCAACACACTGATTCGCTTTATATACAACGATTTCCGATAGTCGCTTTATTGCTATTGAAAAAGGAATCACAGTGTGATCAGAACAGCCACGTCTAAAAACTTCATATCCAAAAAACTTTTGCAATACTGATGTGGAAGACCTCAGAAGAGATATCTTAAAGCATTTTTTAACGATCATACACTTTAGCTGTATTTCCATTATACAGCAACGTAAGTATCCACTTTCTTCTTCTGTGAATGAAAAATTGAATTGGGCACCAAGTCATTAAACTTTTTTGAGTTCCTTGCTTCTAATTACCCATGGATATCTAGTTAAACCTTAATACTTTGCAGAATTCTAAACCGAAATGTGTTCATGATGAGTAACAGCAAGCAAAAACAGGGCGGACAATACTCACGTGGAAAGAGAATCACAGTGCTGACAGAAAACGAGATCGCATGCTTCACAATAGAGTAACTGCTCTTGTTGGTGTATTGAACAGTTAGGTATAACATCTTTGTGCTGTTTCTGCATCAAATCAAGCAGTTGATTAATGAGGAATGAAGAAGGGAATGCATTCGAGCCATCGGAAGGTAAAGTAATCATCTCACGGCAGAGCGGACAACGTACAATACCTGTTTCAATCACCTGCAATTTGTCATATGCAAATATACACCAGCACAAGTGAATGTACTGAACTATCTGAATTACGATCCTGTAGCCTTTGAATTGCTTTACATGATCTTTAAATTTCGAGTTATGACTCGTTTACTGAATCTCTCACTCACCATTACACATAAAAAACTTCCCACCGCTTTGTATTGTCAACCAATCCAGTGAAATGTGATGAATCATCTTGCTATAACACTTTTGATTCTAGAACTAATTTCGATAAAAAAATATATTTCATCGACTTGAAAAAAAAAAAAAATAGGAGCAAATCGAAACAAATCCTTACTATCAACTCTCATTCCCTCTTAAGTTCTCCCTCTCAAGCCCATTTTAACGCCAATTTTACTAGTTTTATGCCACAAAGGATAAGTAAAAGGATGAAGATGCATTAATTCCAAATCACTGGCAGTAAAGACTGAATCATATGGAACAATAAATGCCGGAATAAGTACTGAATTTGACTTAAAACCGAATGAATTAATTTTTTTGCAGCATAAACCTATCATTTTCTGACCGCAACCCTACAGAAGCTATCATTTTTCATGGATTACCTGTGGTAGTTGCTCCATACGTAACAAACATTCCAGGCATACAGTATGAGAACATGAAAGAAGCTTCGCTTTCTTTCGTTCCTGAAAAAAAATGAAAGGATTTCTTCAGTGAATATATACTTATAACTACAAATTTTCCAGAATTTCCCTAATTAAATTGCTAAACACTTTTAAACAAAAATTTTTGGCTTTTGAGGATGCATCCTTAATGCCTGCTTCAGTAAGCATCGGCATCATTGTGATGTGAGAATGTCTATGTTTTGTAAATGTATATATTTTTGTGTTTTCCTTTCTGGGGCAATTCTGAGGCGTTTTAGGACAAAAAATCAGTAAATGAAGCTCCCATACATTATTGATATTAGTAATATAGAGCAACGGTAATCACCTGATCGTAAGTGCACAAGCAAGTTGCACAAGTTAAAAAGGTTTCAGAGAAATCCTCCAGATTGATATTAACTGTTTCGATAAAGGTCGAGGCCATACGGCCGCGGGTTACCCGCATCTGCTATCTGCGTGGCGCACTGCACTACCCAATTAACGGGGGTAACTCTCCTTTTCGATCGACCAAACCTTGCTGGTAGATGTGAAATACGATAATGCATGCACTATCAGCACAACAATAGACAATGTTTCTCATTGATGTTCAATTATCCATAGACATCAAAAACCTCATAATCACAATATCTTGAATCAAGCTCTAAAAACAGTAATTAAGGAAATATGTCACTATCGCTGTTGTCACTATCGTATATCAAAAATTTACGAGCACTTCACAGAGTCCTTTGTTTATTAACTTATTAGTTTATTAGCAAATATAAATTGGTTGCAAAAGGGTCATCTTCTGTGCAGGAGATCGCCGCTGTTACAAAAATATAAAACAAAAAATGAGGTCGTATCTGTACCATTCCGAGACAGTTTTTACGTAGAGATTTAGATGCAAATTGAGTTACTATAATTATTACGTTAAACTTTAACAAATAAATTTTAAGGAAATAACTGTGAAGAGAGAATTTTTTTCGAAATCAGTCCTCTTGAGAAAAGAAAAAGCAGCGAAACTGGTAGGTGCGTTAGAATTACGCAATGATATTCAGCACTGTATGATAAAATATAACAATATTTCACCGTAATCGACTTTCTTTTTCGATTAAAAATTCTTTAACCTCAAACCGAACAATAAATGCAGTATGCATAAAATAATTTGTAACCATACTTGTATCTTCAAATACATACAGCTTAATGAAATTGAATATTTGGAAAGTTTGAACTCAAAACAATCCCTATAAATACCTCTGCCTGGGCTAAAGGTCAATGAAAATCATTCCTCCTTCAAAAGATGGCTTGGAATAGATGGGAATATCTTAGTGGCAGGCTCTGTGAGGATGGAATGGAAATGTCTTCAATAAATGGCTGATCGATTGAACAAGAACAGTATGAGAGATGACAGCTTGCCCACATCTCTCGCCCAATTGCAAGGGTCTTCCTTCACAGTGTCAGAACGGAAGTTTGTCCGTGGTGACCTGTCACTATTGTTGTTACCTGCTCCATCCAATTGAAAGTCAAGCGAAATATTTACCCAACTTCGTCTTATTCATTAGACTCAAGATTAACTTAAATTTATCTTGCCAATTATGGTGTCGCAAGGGTAAATTGTACTTCTCGTCCACTTCTACGCCCTAAATTTATTCATTTACTTATGATTTCTTAATAGGGGTTAGATCAATTTAACCTCGCACGAACAGATAAATTAATTCCAAAATTTTCACCAAGCAAAACATAAGTGCTGGGAATGGTGAGAGAATAAAGTGAAGAGAAAAAGGAAAAACAATAATAGTTTTTGGGAGACTGAAAATCCTAGATGCTCAAAATATACTCTTCATTCCACTGATGATTGATTCAAAGCATATTATCAACAATCACAAGTACATCTTCCACTTTTTTGTAACTCAATAAGCTTACACAGGCCTCAGTAGCTCTGGGATAGTTTTTGGGTATTCAATTTTAAATTATTAACTACTTCACTGGCAATATAAATTTCTCTAAAAATTCGAGCTTTGGGAATGGTAAAACGTATTGGTAGAAAATAAAAAGGTCGTATTGCGATGAATCTGAGACCTTAGGTATTGAAAATAGATGGTGTTAGAGAGAGGGAGGGAGAGAGATCAGACAATTTATACGAACTATGATATACATTCTTCCAGTTTTTCTGTTTCATTAAATTACACTACTAATTAACTTCGAAGTGGAATTTAAATCCTCGGAAAGAAGACTTACTACACGACTTATCCATGTGAAATGTTGCTGAATAAACCGTTTTAGTGCAAAAAAAGAAATACATCTTTATAAGAGATGACAAAAACAAGAGAAAAATGACACATAAGTGACGGATGGGATGGGACATTACTGCGCGGTTGGGTTGATCAAAAGAGGTCGCCCGTTTGGCGTTACATCGGGAAAAGGGATAAGTCAGCAACAACCAGTGACAACAAGCCAGTAATCTTGTTTCTCTTAGTGCAGTTAATCTCATCCCGTCTCTGTTTCCGTTTTTCTTTTCCTTGTTGTTCCAAACAGAACCTGTCTGGTTTGTTTGACTCCACCTTCCAGAAATCTATTTCGGCTGCATTATCATCAGTCTTCGAATTTTTGTTTCTCCTACCCGATCCTGTCCTGTAGTTTTTTAACTGACCAGCACGTACTCAGCTAACTGGAAGCATATATAGTAGTAGTACGTCAGTCTCAATGTTATCTGTTTTCGATGCTACTCTCACACCTCTCACTAAAGTTCAAAGTCTCTAGTATCCTAAGTCCAATATTCCTTCAGCTACCGAAGTTAAAGCTCAAAGCAATCACTTACATGGAACTTCTGCTTCACCTACCACACAGCTTTCATTTTCCAATCCAACATGAATTTCAAAATTAAAGCGTATCTTCAAAGCTTACCCAAGACGGAGGGAGGAAAGGGAAAAAGGACCATAGCATAAGCCACAAGTCCCCTTCGCTGAGCTGCTATTCTGATGGCCTCGTCCGCCCACACCTGTCCACATTTGCGTGTAGACCGACGCCTTTATTGTCTTCGGTAAATGAAATTTGCATTTGCTGAGAAACAATTGTGATTGCGCGTGAACCTATGACAATGAGGACGACGCTCCTGTTTTGTGCTCGGATTACATTGCGTTTCATTATCGTCTGGGGATCCTCAACCTTTTACAAGAATGTGTGTCGTATACGACACGGCTTTTACGACTAGGGACACGTCGTATGAATAGGTGTGGTAACTGGCTGACGTCACGGGATTTGAAACTTCGACCTGAAACTTACTCAAAACTAATGAAGGTTTTAATTTATCAATCTTCTATTTGAACTTTCGTTTTTTTTTTTTTTTTTTTGTCAGACGAATGGATGATCGTATACAAATCCACGGTGATAATACCTTGCCAACGACGTCATATGGCGGCATGCTGCCAAGAGATGCAACCGAATCTGTAATACAGTCACTCACAAACGGATCTCCTGTTAATGATGGAACTAGAAAACCGGACAAAGCACCACTTATGACCGGTATAGGAGATTTTGCTGTTTTCATGGATACTCTTCACTTTTCTTGGGTGTAACCTACATAGGATTAGTCGTGTGTATAGGTAAGTTGTTAACACTACTTACTGCTAGTTTTCTGCAAGTTAACTCTCACTTTAGGTATCTGGTTGATATTCAAGTGGTCCTTACTAGAGGAAAAAATTTTATAAAAGGACTAAATTTAAAGCCTAAAATTCAAGGAGACATCACTAAGAAGTGAACACCAACTGCGTCGAGATTTGCATCACTTTTACCTTCTGTTAAAGATGTAACCTTATGGCATAAAGAAGCAACGCAAACTTTCCTTTTTCCCGAATACTAACTGTAGAATTGCACATAGTTGGGACACAGAGTATTGAAATGTGAGGTCAGGCAGTTATCTTGGAATTCGCAAGACACTTCAGAAAATAATGTTGTAGCGCCGTAATTTAATTCTTTTTTCCTTTCGCCGAGCATATTTGTAGCCGTAAATGATAACAATCTTTGGTTTATCAGTACTAATGTAAAGAAGCTAATATTTCGTGGACGCATTACAGTTTTAAGAAATCTGTGTAGTTAAGTACCAATGGATTTGTCATAAGAATGAGAAATCAGAGCAATGGAGCATGGGACACATGTGAAAACCTTACATATCCTACATATATTATTGTTTAATCACTTAGTTATTTAGCTATTGTACTTATATAAAACAAGAAATACCTGAGGATTTTGGCTTATCCCAACATCTTTGTTACAACCTGACCAATCATGATGGAATTTCTTTTTATAGTGGAATTT